AACGGCAAAGACGAAACGAGCTATGAACTTCAACCTCATACTGGGCCTTGCGGTCATTTTTGATGAGCGCCCCTTGCACCCTGAAATTGGAGTGCCTCCGTACGTTGCTACCAGGGTATTGTAGCAGATACCTGAGCGCAGCCGATGCACCAGCACACGCCATCAGTATGGCAAGGACTGCTGCAGAATGAAGTTTCGATGGAAACCTTATGGTCCGGCCGACCATGAGCGGGAAGCACGCCTGACCATCTGGGGAAAATCCATTCTGGGACGGCAAAAGCAGAGCCTTCCCTAATCGGTCACCAGTGGAAATGAGTCATGAGTCCACTGCGACAACAACATGCGGCACGTCTTATGGCTGCCTCGCAGCCAGGAAGCACCAGCTCAACCAAAGCCCGAACTCCGTTTTCTGAGAATATCGCTCTCGTTTTGTTGGATTCGCTAGGTGGCCTGGTTTGGGAACCACTTCAATGTATGAAGACAAGCATTGCTAAAGTCAGCGCGGAATAGCCCTCTAGGCTGGCTTCGGGGTTGCGAGGGAATCGTCAGAAACGTCTCAGATTCTCCTTCCTCCGAATGTACCCAACTCACCACGTTCTGAGGAGATAGCCAGGGCCACGATACCTCATCCACCATATAGCATTGGCATCGCTCTATCGGACTATCGCCTCCCCTGCGCCCTGAATAAGCATCTGCCAGAGAAGAAAGTTAAAGATTGCGACCACCCCAAAAACGACTTCTCCAAATTCTTCAACCCCCAGCTTCCTTCATTCTGGGCTGGAAGCTTCCAAACGCTCACTAGCAAATGCACGCATATCAGTGACCATGATGGTGGTTATGTTATTGATCAGTTGTTTCCTAGAAGAGATAAAACTTGGATAAACAAAAGTGTCGAAATTGAGACAGGAATTATGAGACAACCCAATATATAAGCTCTTTCTATAATCAGCTTTGAAATATAAGAGCATGATGTCAATAAATGACAGACAAATCAAGTTGAAAGGAGAGCAAATCGCTGTCGTATCTTTATCAATAGAACTGACCTTACGAGTTTTCATCTCAACAAATTCATCGATTGGAAGACGAGCATGATCGTATCCATTCTTGACAGCCTGTTCAAAGCAGAGGCCTTTTTGACTGTTATGGTCGACGAGACCGCCGATTACATAAACTTTCGTGTCATCCAACTTGGTCAAAACCTGAGAATGTTTACATCAGTGGGAAAATGGACTCCTTCAGAGCAATAAACGCTCACGTTATCTGAATCTGCCGTGAGGTACACTATTTCACTCGTCTTGAACAAGTCGTTAATCGACTCAGCCTTTAGAAAAATGTCTTGGTTATGATTGGATTCTATGCTGTCGTAGATCTGGAAATATATTTTTTGGCGCTATCGCAATGTACAGGGGCACTGTGATTACAATGCATTGAAAACCGCGTAAAACATGTGTTTTGTGTTGGAAACGAGACTAAGCTTTGAGCGGAGGAGGAGAGACTTCAACGTGCATGAGCCATTTAAATTTTCCGCGGAGCCCCTGCACCCTCGTGGGCTTAGACCTAGAGGATGCCCTCGTATACTGCGATAGCGTCCATTTTTTTTAATTGTTAGAAAATTAAAAGAATGCAGAAGCAAAACAGCGATGAGCAGACTTTAAAAAGTGGGGAGAGCTAGACAAGTTAGCATACAGGAGAGAGGAAATGCAGCAAAATCAAAAGAAGGCGATGCAAAATAAATGTATGCATGACGTGAAATGGATCCTATCCCTCCCAACCGATTCCCCTATCCCTTTGAAGATAGACTGTGAGAAACAACGTCTTCGCCGAGATAGGACCTCCTTCAAAGCTCACAAACTCATACTTCTTTCCGCTTAACTAGAACCCATTCTTTGCCAGCCAACTTTTGCAATTTGTCGCTGAGTTTCCTGCGAAATTCGTTATCGGAACCATGGAATCCTCCATCATGACGTTTAAAATGGCAGGACGATTATCAAGCTTGAACTCGTGCTCAGTGCACCCCACCTCCTGCCAGCTTCGTCCTTTCTGAACTCAGTATTCAAGAAGCGGATAAACCACTTCGCATTGTAATTTCCAAGTACTCAATACCCCACCTTAATGAAGCGGTTTTCCAAATGCTCATCTTTCTCCTTTCCTACAAAACCGCACTACTTTATTTCACAGCTTATCGAAGTATTTTTCCCACATGCCTGATCTCGGTTGGATTCGAAGTGGCATTGTCAGCGCCCCTTACAGTCCACACTACCCTGATTTTTTGGATTCTCTGGATTGGAGGCCACACTCAAAAGCGCAACCTAAGATAGGATGAGCGAAATATTGCGTGTAAGCTCAAAACGAGCAGGGGCCGTGGAAGATGCGATACGAGGCATCGTTGTGGCAGACGATGTCCTTGAAACAAGTTATTAGGCGCTAAACGCTGGTCCGTCCCCTCCCCGTGGTGGTATCGCATGATTCACATTGTCTAAGTGATCACCATGTCTTCCCGTCTTGAGATTTTCTTATTATTTCTCCTTTTCGCTGTTTTAATCTTGTTCTTCTCCATTCTGTAGAAAGCGATGGATGACTGTAGCTATTTGTGTTCTCGACGGTTCCTCTTCATTTCATCTAAACTGTCGGCCCGATTCGCACTGCTTATTTCATTCGCTCCTGCCCTACCAATTTGGTCCTGACTGTGCCTTTACAAAAATGAACATGTCCAAATTTCCCTTTCGCTTAAGGGTGTAATTTCGTTTTCGTGTAAAGCGTCGATCTCCGTGTTCTTTTGCTTAGCGGCGGCCGCTTGGGCGATCCTCCCCCATTTTTGTTTTACGAACAACAAAATCTCCTGAGCTTCGCATGCTCTCCCAGCACGCGTATTGGCCTTTCTTTTGATACACGATTAGGGTCTATTCCAGTTAGGGGGGGCATCATGATGCAGTTTTTCCAGAAAGCTAGGGTAACTCCGAGCCAGGGGAGTGTAGCCAGTCTAGGGGGTGGGGGTGAGGGCAGTCACTTGACATGCGTGAAAAGCTGGAATGTTCGAGTTCACACTAGTTCGCCGAGAAACTGCATCATGATGCCCCCCTAACTGGAATAGACCCCACGATTAGTTGGATTTCCCCGTTTTCAATGCAAAGTTGTTTTCACTATCCTGCTTTGCTCGAATGTCCGAGACCAGACTGTTGTCCTCGATTGAGTGACATCTGTTTGTTTCGCAATCGTGGGATCACCTTAACTATGCTGGCCCTCTTCGTTGTCTTACGGATGTGACTTTTGAATCTTTCCGTGAACAACATGCTGCAGACCAGTATCCCGTTAGCTATAACAAAACTGATAACCCTTT